CAGGCGGAAATCCCAAGCTGCTTCATATCTTCTTCTTCTCCTTCTTCTCCTTTCGGCACGTCCCTTTTCAGGGGTCGCCACAGCGAGTCATTAATTTCCATCTTTCCCTGTTCTCTGCATCCTCTACTCTTGACTCCTTTGACTGCTGACTACTTTGCGCTCTCTTCACCGATATAAATAAATGATGAAAAAGAGTAACACGATTGATCTTGAAAACACTCGTGGAAATCGTGATCATTTCATTTGAGAGGCAAAAATATGTTCTTCCACTTGATGAAGGCATCACATGAACGAGCCTCAAGTCACCATTTGAAAAATGGTCACCTGACAGTTTTTTTCCCCAGTTTTTTTTTTTTTTGGGGAGTTCTGAATGTGGACATTCGGCTGCCGTTACGTGCAGAGCCAGATCTACTCTGAGATCGAGGGCTGTTGGCCACCACCCAAAAAAATCCTCAACTATTTGCCTTCACGCCTTGAACAGAAATCTGCTGAACAATCCAAATCATCGAGAATTGCTTTCTCGAGACTGACTTTAGCGTGTCCCAAAAAACGACCCTTTTCTCCTTCCATTTCTCTGTAAGCGGGACTCAAGCGAAAAAGTTTGGACACCCCTGCATTAGTAGCAAGAGAATAAGGTCAGAATGTTGGGATTGGGGGGGGGTCATTTTTCTTGACTGCGGTTCTAATGGTATGAGGAAAAAGTCATGACTAAAGGGGCAGTGTCGCGGGTTAAGTTGAGTCGGGAGATGATGTGAAAAAACATATTTCGGAACAAAGTGACAATTTTTGTGAATGTTATCAGAAGTAATTCTTAGTTAGTTCATGACAATAAGTGTGTTTACATTACAACAACCCATTTTTAGTCATTATTTTCCCAGAATAAAATCGGAAAAGTAGCGCAATAATTATTGGTTAGTAAACGGAGTCATGATACTAGGAGAAAAAAAGTAAACAGATGAAACAGAAGTGGAAGAGAAAGTGTGCTCACTAACCCTCAAACAGCTCGCCATTGTCGATCTGACCGGGACACGTCGAGTTCTGGTCTCCGCTTTCCACAAATTCCTTCCACTGTTCGTACCAGCGATGGTCCACCATGAACCTGACGCACAAAGTGAAAGTGACGTCATACTCGCGGCACAACGATGAATCGATTTAATCGGGCAAAATTAGTT